CCCCTGCTCCCCTACCCCAGCCGGTCGAGGCGGGTGGCCCGGGGTGGCCGGCCGGAGACAGACATATAGACGGACAGACGGACCCGCGGCGGTTGCAATTTTTTTTTATTGTTTTCTTTGGCGATGCACCATCAGACAGACAGACAGACTGACTGGCTGCCTTCCGCGCTGCCGGGTGAAAGTTGAGATGCGCAGTGCGGTGCGGTGCGCGGCGTGGAGCGGGGCGGCGGCAGAGCTCGATGAGGCATGCCATACCGCGAGTATCTACGAGCGGGGCCCGCCGCGGCCCGCGGCGCGGAGTGGTGCGGGCGGAGGGGGCCGTATAAGCGTAAGGTGGCCTCGCAAGAAAGGCGTTCAGACGAAATGTAACCGCGAGGAAATGGCAAAAATCTGTGCGAATCGGTAGAGGACTTCCGATACAAATAATTATGCAGACTTAACATATGATTTTTGGAGCTTGCGAAGAATCTTCGAACATATTTAGCAATGCGCTCGGAGTCGCAAAAAGACGCATTCTGCAGCGGCATGGTTACGATAGGCAAACGCCCTCGCAAGCAACCCGCGCCCGCACGACTGCGAGCGGATTGGTATACCCATTCGCTCAGAGGGGCTGGCCGGGCTGGCCAGGCCACCCACCCAGCACGTAAAATGTTGCTACTCATACTGCCGGTTCTGGAGAGCCGTCAGTTCCTTCCGGACAAGCTCGACGCGTTTCCATGTGCAGACTCCAGTGCTGTCCCCCGTAACCGGGCCCGCCGCACGGCCGGGCTAGTTCCCTCCCCCCGCCCCACGGTGCGGTCTGCCCGGGTCTGCCGCGTCCGGGCTGCCCCGTGATGAGTTTCCCGCCACTGTTTTACCATGGGATCTCGGCCGGCCCCATCGCCGTGGCCATCGCCCCAGCAGCGTAGCGTAAGCCATCCTGACAAAACGGCCAGCTCAGCCTCAGCGGTTTGGATCGGCGAGAGCGGCTCGCCTGGGCTCGGCGCATCGGTTTCGCTTGTGCGCGCTGCGCCGCCGTGGCGCGGCCAGTGACGAGCCGCGGCGAGCGAGGCAGGCAGGCAGGGGGGTCATTGGTCCCGAATGCAGACTCCCCTCCCCCCCCCCCTCTCTGCGGGCACATGCACCTCCTACCTCCCCTCGCTCGAACATGCCCCTCTCCCCCTCTCTCTTCCTCCTTTTCTCTCAGATCACCCACGTGACTGGTTATTAGACCGCCCACGACACGACGAGAACACCTCGCCCCGCCCCGCCCCCTCATGACATGAAGCTCGCTACCTTGCCATCAGACTGCAACAATCCCCCTCCCTCCCTCTCGTCTCTCTCTCTCTCTATCTCTCTCTCTCTCTCCCTCTCTCTCTCTCTCACAGTGTCTCTCTCTCTCTCTCCCCGATGGAC